CCCCAAAACCCCAAAACCCCAAAACCCCAAAACCCCTGGAAGATCACTGGTCGTTGAATTATATAATATGGGGTACTCAAAAAGTTATACAAATTGGCTATTTTTGAGCAAGATAAATAGCCTTAAGCGCTGGTAATGGACTCTTACATGCTTTTCTCATACGACCTTTTGTGATCTTAGGAAAATGCACCTAAATTTTGAGTTAAAGAAGCTATAACAACTAATGGAATATCAGAATAAAAACTAATTATAATACCAGCGACATCTTACCTTGTCCCTCGATACTATGGGGCTTCTAGCTGTCTTCTTTCGAGTTTCCAGTGCTTTAGCAATTTCCCCTAAAAATAAAGAAGCTCGACTACTTTTGTTCAAAGATATAAAGTTAGGAGCGTTCCTGTTTATCTTGGTTGGAGAAGTTAAACCTTGTTTGGCATTTCTAACAAGTTGGAGGCTTTGTAGTTTCTGAAGAAGGGAAGCCAGATTATCAGTGTTTTCCCCTAAATAATATTGTCAGACTATTGCTTTAGCAGGTTTACATCTTTTAATAATACTATTAAAATGAGTCAAATGGGTAAAATGAGTCAAACTAATATCGTGTTTTTAATATTTTTGATAAAATATCTTAGGTTTTGATGCTGGAATTAATATTTGAATGCCCAATCCGCATTTCAAATTTATGAAATTATAATTATCTTCCAAAAGTTTGGTTTTTCCAAAACGTGTATGGGTAATTTAACAACTCCAAAGCTTAAAACTTAAAGAACATAGCCCAGAAGTGATAGGGGTACCTTTATTTTTATTTTCCAGCCTGTATCCTCTCTTTATCATCCTATTCCTAAAATAAAATTATTAAGACAAGGGTTAGAATCATGAAAATCTGAAATGATTCACATCTTTTGGGAAACTCAATGAAAAGACTCTGAATGAAGTAAGAAGATAAGGTAAAAACAGTGCTTCAAAAGTTTGCCCATATCCTATTAAAAATTCTAACTATTACTAATAAATTCTGGAGCTGGTGAAAATTAGCATAATTTTATTCTTCCAGAATTCTGACAGATTTTCAGTAATTAAACTATTCCTAAAACTGTACCTTTGCTGGCCGAGAGTCTGCTTCTCAGAGACTGGACTTAATTGAGCATCTCTCGTGAACACTAGAAATAGTCTGAAAGTATTACCTGGACTCAAGTTCTTCATAGTTTTTGAGGCTTTTGGGTTTTCTAAAGTATGTTAGCCCCAAATAAGTTATTTTTAATAACACTAATCGTACCTTTTCAAAAAGAGACGGTCTTTTTATTAAATGTTTTCACTCTCCTACAGGCTCTATAAAGATAGGGACATCTGACGTACCTTTGTTCTCTAATAATGTCACCTTCAAGAGTTTCTTTAGCAAATTTTTGATACAAGTCATCCGTCCTTTTTGATAAACAAATGGATCCTAAGACTTTGTCCTTAATAGGCTTAGGAGAAATAGAGCAGACTTTAGCTTTGCTGCTTTGTCTTCTGAGAGATTTCATCTTACTGTGCTTCTTAGTATGCATCCTTATTGGCTTCCTCATTCAAACACCCATGATGTTGCTCTGGATTTCTTGGTTGATTTTGCTATCAGTATTTTCAGCTCGATGAATTTTTCTCCCAATGGTGAAACTGTGAAGAACTCTCTCATGCTTAATCCTCTCGATATCGTAATTTCTGAGATAGTATTTGAAATATTGAGATGGCTCTTTTGCAGACATATCATTTTCATCGATAAGCAATTGGTCGATGCCAATCTGCTTCGGAGCAGATGGGTTTGGATCGAATATTTCTTTTAAGTTTTGTGTAATCTTTTCGATGTGAATTTGCCCCTATTGATGATAAAGCAGATATTTACACAATGATTGAAGAAGTAAACAACAAAACAACACTTACTTTTTCTTTACTGAAGTTTTCCTTACTGGAGATATTAGAAGTGTTGTTGTAAATATATTCAAGATCTCTTAATTCTTTAGGAACGTCTCTGCATGATGTAAACCTTAGTGGTAAATGATTGAAATTTCCTCTCTCACAATCCAACTCAGTCATTTCCTCTTTAAGTTGCCAAAAATCGAGCTTCATTATTTTTCTATATGATCAACATCAAATTCGCTCTAAAAGGGTTCCTAAGTTCCTAAAAACCTGTAATTAATTTCCCTAGATGTTAACTAAACCTAAGGCGCTCTCTTTCCTTAAAATCCGCAATGTAAACACTATTTGCCCTAATTCTGAGCTAAACCCTCAAAACTTTACGTGAGAGGTTCTTGGCTAGAGTTTACCTTAAACATAGGGTTATTTACAGGCCCAAACTTACATAATCTTTGAGTTATTTACACCTCAAACAAAATATTTCTAATGTTTAAATCAATCAGATATTTTTGACACTCAAAAATTACCAGAGCCCACTTCGGTAGGGTATAATACCCATAGATCACTTATACCTACGAATGAGAGAAACCTAGAAGATATGAATGTACCTTAAATCTTCAATCTTGTTCAGCTTCGGAGAGTCGCTCTCACAGCTTGTATCAGGGCTATATCTAGCCGTTGTATCCATTGTTCTATACTCAGACATTTTGTAGAAATTATTTAAACTTAAATTATGATTGTGAAATAAACCTCAATGTTATTTATACTTTCAGGGGTTTTGGGGTTTTGGGGTTTTGGGGGTTTTGGGATTTTGGGGTTTTGGGG